TGGCGATATTTACGAGATTTGTCCTTAATAAACGTTATAGAAAATAGATAAACTATTGAATACCTTCTGTTTTATATTTGAGTTGAAAAGTACTGAATAAAATATTTTTCTTTCTTTCGGACGCATGTGATGAAATGATATTCACCAAGTAAAAACCTATAGAACTATTACTGGATATTCTAGGTATATATAATCACCATAAATACTTCATTCACGTATGTAATTTTTTTTCATTTTTGTCAGTATATATATACTTACAAGATTTTTCTAATATTGCCATCAACAACGGTTAAAATAAAATTTTAAATTAATAACGTTAATGTAAAATTGTTCCACCCTAGGAATAAAACTTCCATTTACGACTATCTTATAATTATCTGCATGTACCGATGTCGTACTACAGAACTAAAATAACCCTATTTGTATATAAATATATATATGTATCAAATTAACTGATTTCATTACACATGTACAAATAGATAGAAATATCATTTTGTATATATTTTTATATGTTTTAAAATGTAGGTATATAAATCTTGATTTTAATCGAAAAAAATTGACGCTAAGAATTTTACTAACACACTTCTAGGTTTGTTTCTAGGGAGATTAATATGTAGGTACACGTAAATTGAAACATGATGTGGCAATAATATATACATGTTATTTCTAACCTTAAATCTAACAAAATATGTGTTCTGTTAAATAAGCAAAGCTTAGACACATGTACTGAATAGCTATTGTCTGAAGGAAACTTTTTTAATAAAGCCTCCTTCTACTTAAGTTTGGGTATTCACGTCTACATTATTAATTATATCTATGTACCTACCTACCGCAGAATGTACTGACGTTTTTATTAAATTAGGTATACTGAAAGGTCTCGGCACCGAAAATATTTTGGTGTTCAACATATACCTAATTCAAATTTTATTCCTTAAAGTATGTAAGTTAACATAAATTTGGACAAAACAGGTACTAAACCTGTTTTGTCCAAATTTATGTTATTATATATTATGCTCTATATATATATATATATATATTTATATCTCTATATAATATAATTATAATAAAGAAATATGTAATTTCTCAAACCTAAAACTCAAGCTTACTTGGACCATTTTAATCATTCTTTCACATTCAGCGAGAAACAAACGGGAAGCACCATGCTACACAGCTAGATAATGTTATAAAAACATTGTTAATTTTATAAGTTTATGTAAAATAAACTTCTTATTTTCTTATAATAAAAGTTATTTCATATAGAGAGATCTGTATATAAAGCTGTTTTTATTAATTGTTTAAACTTTATTGCATAACGAAATATTACAATATGAAATTGAATTAAGCTCCGCATTTAAGGTTAAAAGTTTTTAGTTTGACTTTTAATTCATCATAACGGCTCAGGACTTATACTTGAAACACTTTACTTACATCTAAAAACACTTTCTTAAGTCCATTGACAATTGGGCAAAAAAGTTTTAATTTCAAATTACCTATGAAAAGCAACAAATTAGGATAAAAAATACAAAAGATAATAAATTTTAACACATATCTAATCTACTAATTATTCAAGAGGTAGATATCTATTTAAGCAGAACTACACTTATATATATATATATATATATATATATATATATATATATATATATATATATATATATATATATATATGTATATTGTACTGAAGGTAACCAAACCGGTCAAAAGGTTGTGATCTAAACTAGTAAATAATAGCTTCAAGCCTTACTTCATCCCTTTGTAATTTTGCGTAGGCCCGAAATATTTACATATCCGTCGGAGTTAATAAAATATAACTGTCTATATTATTTATACAGTCAAACATAAAGATATTAATTTAATAAAGGAAAATCTACTTCCGTGTTCGAAGTCCTTTTTTCTATTTGGAGATCGAACGAATTTCTGGTTCATTTATCCGATCCATCGGTGCTGGAAAGATGTGCAGTCCAGGCAGTAACGTAGATACTATCACTAGTGTAAATAGATTTTTTAACAAAAACTAAATCTAATATAACTATTTTTCCGACAGATAAACGAAGTCATCTGGTATATACGTGCCTATATACACTCTACAATTTACATGCATGCGCATCACATGTATGTCAAAAGATACATATATAAAGTAATAGAAACTCAATTATATAGATACTGACTATAATCATTTAAATAGATAGATATAAAGTAATAGGAAAACCTACTTAACTACATCATTAATTTTCCAATTTTTCCTCATCTTCATAATAAGTTTCTGTTTAGTAATATTTGTGCTTAAACATAAATTGTCATAAATTCAAAAATATATATTTATATTTTTCTACAAATTAATTACAATACTTTGATATTGGTTGAAATACCAGTACAATTAGGACTGGTATTTCTTCAACAGACTAGCTCGAAAATAAACAGAAATTTAAATAACCCTCTGATAAAGCTTTAAAAGGGCTAAAACCTTCAGGATTAAACCATTAAGAATAATTTGTAGAAGATTATCTACAAGTCTGTTTATGTTTGCATCGCATTAAGATATAATTTAATGTTAATGAGAAATTAGAATTTGTTGTAGTTTATTTATATCCTAATTTACCTATTTCATTGTCATTCGTATCTGTCTATCCCACTTTTATTATAATTTTTATCATTTGATTTCACATTGAAATTTTATATAAGAGTATATTTTAAGAATAGTTAATTATTAAATAGTATTTATTAAAAGTAAAATGAATAAACACTGATTTCTTTCATACTTATTTTGTGTTATTTTAATCTAAAAGAACATGCTGCTAACGTAACCACATTAATAATTGCCCCAACCGCTATAAAACAAAATTAAATATGCATGGTAAAGGAATGAATAAAACTGAATTATTATATTAGTATTAACTCGGTAAGCTAACAGTGTGTATGTCCGAAATTACCTTTTTAATTTATCCACAAGCTTTGCTTACTTTATGAGCATTAGACTGTAATCAAGTTATCTATGAAGACGAAGTTGTAGATGACCGCAAAACATCATTAAATCCTTTAGCTGAAATAGCTATTGAGGAAAACATTAATACCTCGTGAAAGGACCCTCTCGAGTCTCGAACCTATATGATATAGGGCTGATTGCTATCCTACATAATAAAGAGGCTCATCATCTCGTTTCTCGGAGCTATTTAAAGGAAAATTACCGAAATAACTCGCTTAATGCTTCAGATAAGACCGTAAACAGTTTTAGAGTTGGTGTATTCATATTTAATAGTTTTTTTTCATAACATATATCCACTTACTGTTACATTATTTTTACCTGTCTTTTTCACATTATATACCTGTATTTATAATTTCAGTATAAAGATTAGGTAAGTTTTCTGTAGATTAAAATAAATTATATTATACAAGTTTTGATGTGACATAAATATAAATCCCTGGATTCTAATATTTTTACAAAGAACGTTTACTCACTACTAGGTATATATTTTCTCAGGTGAAATAGCCTAAGGTAATATGTCGACTGTTATCTATCATTAATTAAGTTTCTTTTTATTATTATATATTTCTAATCAATCACTTAATATTATATTTATTATTTTCTAATAAATATAATATTAATCACGTAAGTATAATTACAAGTACATAAGTTTTTCGAGATCATTTAATTATATATTACAGGAGGAGCAGGTTAACTAAGAAATGAACACACTTAGAGAGGAAATAAAAAACATATTTAAAGTTACTCGATAATTACTTAGAAAAAATGTAAAATTAAAAATGATAGTCTCACTCACTTCAAACATCATGATCGGTAAAAAATTAGACGGACACTATAACATGCTCTCTATACCAAATAACCTTTTCATGTATCGAATAATGACAAGCTGACGATGTACCTTATGGAAAAAACAAACGTAATCCATGTACATCACCATAAATATTATATTTACAGCAGCATTTTTTGTGATCTCCATAACAATTCTGTGGTTTCTTATTTATTTATAATATGTTACAGTTTTTAGGTATGCTACTAGAAATTATTATAATGTACATACCAGGTATATCACTGTCGCAATATACATATACATATAGAAATTCGGATACAAGGATAGAAGAAACAGTTAACTGAACATCTACTAAAAAGTTATGTAAACTATTAATAATAATAATTTATCTACTTTTAATTGTAAATATCCGAAATAATAAAAAATCATCATAATAATAACCCATTATTTGTTTTGTTTATAATCATTATACTAAAATTTTAATGTTACAAAATTAATTCAATAATGTTATATATATGGCAGGAACAATTTCGTATAATACGTAACTTTTTGGGATTCTGTTCCAAATTTTTTTGTTATCAACTTAATGGAGCCAAAAGTTTTTACCTATTTAATTATAAATTTTATGTCAATCCCACCAAGTACACTTTTGTTTGGATTAATTTTGTTGCGTTCCTTTCCCATTATTTTGGAAAGTTAGGTAAGTTGGTAAAATCGAAATTGAATCTTGAGAATGTAAAGAAATATGATAAAGTCCGGATTATTGTGTTCCTAATGCGGAATTATTTTTCGTTGGTATCTAGAAATGTATCTTTTCATTCATTTATCGTATGATAGGTGTTTTCAAAATATTAAAAAAAGTTTGACAACTTAAACTACACTCTCAAAATATTTTTACTAACTAATATATATAACTATAAAAGTATAGATTTTACGTTTTTTTCTACAAATACCATTAATAGATAATGTCAGGAATTTAACAATGTCCAATAGAGTATTTGATATATATTCTTTTGTTAAATATATTTTTTCGTCAGTTTAACTGCGAGAGATCTAAGTAGGGATAAAACTCACACTTACAATATTAATAATTATATTTATGACGAATTTGGTAAAGTAACGAAAATACACTGATTTACATTCCTATTATGTTGGGTATCTGTGGATGCTATATTAAATTTTGTATGTGATAAATTGATAATATTATAATTGTTTATAATTTTCAATTAGGTGGCGGAGGCGCCCAGCTCAATGATGAAAATTGTGATTCAGGAGAATTGAAAGTGTGCGTCGAGTTGATTCCACGGACGCCTGTTGGACTGCCGAAGACCAAAGAAGAACTTGATCTACACTGCTCGTTAGTATTTTTTTATGCATGACAATGGATCGATGCATTAACGGTTTACTCTGTTGGGGCATTAGTAGAGGATGATAAGCATAAAGTCAGGTCAGTTAGCCCATCTTGGAAATGGTTACCACGATGATTTCCATGAGGTACGTATAGATTAAGCTGGCATGGTATATCGTTAGCAATACAAATTATTCCTCTTCCCTCTATTCTTAATACTTACGTATATAAATAATTTTAAACAAAGCCTCCCTAATTCTTTAACAGTCAACTTGTAACAACAGAGTTGTTTATGTCTGATTATTATCTAAAGAGATAAATTAAATATTTAAAAAATATCGAGTATAAAATATAAAGTCCTATTTAAGTTGTCGCCTTATGGATAACTTGTATACTGTGCAAACCTATTTGGTTTCATAAGACCAAACTATAATATAACACTGTTCAAACTCGGCGTCAGCCCTTTAGTCAACATCGATTAAACTTAATTCATTATTGTCTGCCATTATCTTGAATGACCAAAATATTTCATTCTGATTATAAAGTAACCTAGATTTGATATATTATCAAAAAACAGTCTCTTTTGTTATTCCCGAACGCAGTGTCAGACAGGAATAATAAAAATGACAAATGAACAGGAAGAATGGCAAAAAAATCCCGAACAATAGAAACATGAAATCTTTGTGACTATAAGCTATAAATGTTCATTTCAAAGGTTACAACAATCAAAAACAATATAACACATTTACTGTTGAAGTCAACTTAATTTTAAAAACAAGTTGACATAAACAGAATCTTGGATAGCTACCTATAATTGCTAATTTCCTCTAAATATATTTGAAAAAGAAACATTTAAGTGCCTTCTAAACTATTATAGTTCCTAAGTGCTGGCTTAGAGAGCCAAAACCCAAATAAACAACAACAACGATAGCATCCTATTATCTTAGAAGTTTCATAGATCCCTTTATTTATGTAGATACTGCAACAATTTTATTACAATGTGTATTCTACACTACACACCATTGTTAGTATTTTCGTTTAAAACTACTTTATTTAACTCTATACCTGTGTGATATCTTACTGTAATGATGAATTGATTTTGTATATAACAATATTTCACTTAGGTATTAAATATCCTTGTCAAAATAATTCATTCCTTCTTCGTATAACCAATAATTGTTTATTGCATCGACATAATGAGAGTAATATTACAGATAACATAATATTACATAGTAACATGATATCAATTTCAAAAACAATCATGGAACAATTCAGTTTTACCAAATGTACCTATATTTTTTCAATCAATACTGTTGTCCATATATGAATAGTTTTATTTATTGATGGAAATAACTTTTGGATTGTTCTTATTTATCGAATTAAATAATTAATTAAAACTTAATCTAGAAGACACGCTTAAAATACATCAGTATTAAAAATAAATTCGTTAGGTGAACTTTATATATATTGTCTGCTCTATATATTACAAGTAAAAATATTGTTGGCAGCGTTGTGGCTTTTCCTCGGTTAGGTTGGTACATAAGAAAATATGAATGATAAAAAATATCAGATTTGGCGCTGATGCACCAAGCGTACAAAAACAAAAACATATCAGATAGAACTATTGTGGTAGTTTATTTGATAGGATTCTAAAGTAAGAGTCCAGCATATAGTATATATAGTTTATGCTGGAATGGAAGCGAAAAACATATTACGCCGACCCCAAATAAATGGGATAAGGATGAAGCAGATGATGATGATGATGATGATGCTGGACAGGAAGACAATTTTCACGTACTGGTATGAAATAAATAAGATTATTGTAAATATATTGTAAGAAAATTTGTTAATTGAAGGAAATTATTATTATTAATGTAAGTTTCACAAGTACTGTTTAGAATAATAGACAAATGATTTCATTAAAAATCGTTACAGAACATTAGAATAAAAATATGTTAATATTAATATTACAGACCATTTCGCATAATATTTTTCACATTATTTTACATCTGAATTCAAGAAAATGGAAACTACCATAACAATCAATGTCTGTAGATATTCCCATATTATATTAGTCTGCGGCTAGAGAATAAAACTAATAATACACTAAAATTATTTTTATACTTCTGGATAATAGTAGTACTACAGATCCGACTCTGACTGTGATAGCAATGACATTAGATTTCTTCAAAATACTAGTCACTTGTTATAAATATAGAAGACATAGAAAAAAAATCTATACAAACTCATACATACAGTCATATTAGGGTTAGCACATATTCATCTGTATCAAAAAAAGACACCATTTTTCATTGATGCCCCACTCATATAGTTTGTATGTATATTGATACTATCACAGATAAGATAATTTAGCGGATCATTCTAACTATAGTAAATAAACTTTCAATTTCATGAAAAAACAATGGATTTCTTTTTACTACATTCTAACATGACATAATATTATATAGCCAGTAGCGATGGTAATAAGTAGGATAATAATAAATAAGGATACAGTATTAGTCCTTACTAACACTGTATCCTTACATCAAATAAAGTAACACAAAAGATTTTTCTTACTCAGATTTAATATAGTAATTCAATGTCTAGTCTTTGTTAATAAGCCTATCTATTGTACCTACTTTTTTTAATTACACATATATGTCATATGGTCATGGTAGTGACAATAAAAAACAATATTTATTTTAATAAATTTTACATTAACTCAGGCATGAGTTATGACGGCAAGAAAAATGTGTAACTCTGAAATAGCATGTAAAACCTTAGGAGTTGGGTACCTATCGAAACATTTAAGCAATTTTATCATCACAATGAGTTTACGAGTATTAAGATGTGACGGCCTGTTTTTTAGGGATATTTTAGGATTTTTTTTCTACGACCAGTAAATATTTAGAGCTTCAAGTTTTTTATCATTTATTAACACATATTTGGACAGTATAAATATAAAATTTCAGCTAAAAATATTCAGTCAAACTAGAGTTACAGCGCTCTGAACACCCCCGCCTTTAAAAAAAGAGCTCCCACTTCCTCCACGATTCCGGCTGATCGGCTTATCTGAAAAAAAAAAAAAAACGGCGTTTTAATTTGTAGGCTTAAAAGCACGGAATGACCTATAATCAAATGAATATAAAAAAAATTGGATTTTTGATAGACATTTGAAATAAAAGTTGCAAATTAGGCGTTTTTTGTTTTGTTTTTTGCTACGAAGTTTTGAAAATTTTCGATTGATAATAGTTCATTCCATGCGTTTAGATATATTGAGTGTGCAAATTTCAAGTAATTCGGTTATACAATGGAGGAAAGTTTGAAAAACACAGTTTTGAGAAAAACGCGTTTAATATATTTAAGTCCGTTAAAAACTTGCCTGGTCCAATTCTCTTCCTCGAAACTCATTTAAAGCAGATTGTTCAAGTCAATCCTTTGTTTAACGACATCACTTACGCGCCGCTCAGAGCGTAAGATTCCCATAATCGACATAACTTTTAAAATACCTTGAATTCATTAAAGATAATAACTGCTAAGTAGCTAGCAATTTCAACAACTTTGGGACCAGAATGAAGATGTTTAGGAGCGAAAGTCCAAATCAAAGAATTCAAAGATTCGTTATTGTTTTGTGTCTCTGCTCCTAAACAACGAATTAATAATTCGTCTTTCGATATCTTCGAAAACCGGTTTGATAGCTTCTTGGACTTGCGGAATTAGAGGTGGTTTATCGTGATGAAATTGGTCCATTCATTATTACTTCAGCCTTACGCCATTTACACCAACTGTCTTCGCCTTCTGGATTGATGCTGAAAGAAGAACATTTGTGATAGTACGTTGCAAACTTCCTTTCTCATATCTTCAAGCGAATCTGGATGGCGTCGAATAATCCGTAGAATTTTGTAATTTCTTGGATAACTTTATCAAAACCTAATATATCTGTAAATAAAGCCGACGGTACACAATTCTCTATGCCAACTCACCGCTCCGAACCGCTCTTTCTTTTACCTGCTGTATCTTTAAAACGACTTCGAATTTTCTAAAATCGGTTTACTACCGTATTCTAGACATGTTAAAGCAATTTATGAAAAAAAAAAAAAAAAAAAATCGATATTTTCAACCCATTACATAGGAAGACCCCCTTAAGAAATTAATTATATCAATATAATGCAATTTGCAAACCTTTTTACTCCTTACGCTATATTATTAAAAAGGTGGACAAATGGCAATAAAGAGATTTTTATAAATAATATATATTTAATTTTCAATTCTCGAATCATTTAGTAGATTGCTAAAGAATATTATTTTCCATTACAAGTAAGGCTAGTTATATCTAAATTACTTTCAAGTAGGATAAGATGTACATATATAAAATATACACTTACACAATATAAAAAATACATTTACGTGTATATGATCAAACCAATATCGGGCCCGTAGAGTTGTTTATGCTTTATGCAAATTGTAACGTTGCTATAACGTTGCATAAAGCATAAACAAATAGTATGAACCGTCAAAATTGTAACACACTGACTTCATTTAATTTGTGATTTTTACATTCATGTTGACTTTCATTGTATAGTCTCGTGGAGGGAGTAAGATGATAAAATACAAAATCAATTATTTCTACATTCATGAATGTTAAAGTATCATCTTATAAAGTTCTTGTTAGTCCAAACAAAACATTACGAGTAGATAAAACTTTTGCCAACGTCCCAGTGAGCAGCCACAAAGATCAAGAAGGGCGCAAAAGTTGGCGAATATTTGCATATGACACCTAACCTTCGAAAAATAAATTATCATACTATTCTTATAAGTACATAATGCTGAAATTATTTATCTATGCAGGGTCAATGAATTTTTATATTTTGTGATTTTATTAACTACCTTAAATAAATAAACAGGATACTTTTGTATATGGTTTTGTCTCTGCAGGAGGCCGTTATTCAGTAGTGGATGTCCCTAACTCTTATTAAACAACTGTCCTGATTTTGATGAAACTGTATAGGTATATTTATTGATCCTAGGATTATTTTTTACTATAATTAGACCCGATAGCCACTTAACGGATCTAATTATATTTTCAAACGATCCAGGACCTGCTTTTTCAGTCATAACGACGTTTGCCGAGTCCTTGAGTAATATAATACCAAGAATGTGAAATCATAATAACATGAATTAAATGTTCGACTCCTGTCGAAGTGAACTTTACCACACTGGAATAATAAATACAAAATTATTTTAACTTTACTTACAAATAACAAGATAATATTATATTATCAATTGACACTTTCCTTCACCCGGTATTTTTTTTACTTTCTTGATTCTTGACATGAACTAATAATAAAGCACATATAGATTACGTCAAAAGAAATTGGTATAAATATATTAGCCACCATAAAGAAAAAATGTAATGCAACAAATGTATTTATAATACAAAATGAGTGAAAAAACTCCTTATCTATACATATAAATAAAATGTCTGTTTGTAATATTGAAATAACCATTTTTACTACATGCACATGAATATAAATACGGTACATACACCAAAATCAAATTTTTTACAATTTTTGGCTGTCTGTCTGTTTGTTCCGGCTAATCTCTGAAATGGTTGGACCGATTTTGACGGGACTTTTATTAGCAGGTAGCTGATGTAATAAGGAGTAATTTAGGCTACTTTTATTTTAGAAAAATAAAATCATTTTCCACGTGGGCGTTTTCGCGGGGACAGCTAGTTATAAATAAATCATACACACATCGGTACATAGTAATGTTCAGTAAAATATTATTGCGTAATGTATTATCCAACCCGACAGTTTGTTTTCTTTTTCTTTGTTATTTTATTTACAAATTTTACTACAGTCATATCTCACATTGTGGCTGGTAAATGAGGATATGATTTAAAATCTATAATATAGTTTGATAATCTATTACCACCTTTCAGTTCAAACATAAAGTCATTAACTAAGGTTTGTATCCTCTAAGCCCTCTTAAGATAGCGTTAAACTTTTTAATAGATAGTATACATTAGTCGTATTCGCCTAATGGTATCGCTATTGAGTTATTAAACTTAGTATATTATATATAACTAATGGAAGTACCACACACACCTACCACATAATCCAAAAACTTATATCCATAAAATTATATTCTGTATTATTTAGAAAAATATCCATTCTATATCATTGTTATACTTATAATATTTATAACTTTATTTTCTTACAAATGTAATCTACTTTATTCTTTATATTTCTTTATTGATAGAAACTACGCAATGTTATAAATTCTATTGTATGTATCAGATTATGGATTAAATATAAAAATCTGTGTTTCACATGAATTTCCAAATAAAAACACATACTTACTAAAACTCCATTGTTAAGGCTACGGCTTCGTATCTAACTATTCTGTTAAATATAAATGTAATAGTAACAAAGTAAATTGGTTATCTTGGGATTTTATAAAATTGTGTCTATTAGAAAATCGCCATAACAAGTTATGTTGCACGGTTCACAGTTCCAACCGCTACATACTCAAAACTTTGATTCTAATAATAAAGACCAAGGAAAATTCATACAGCGTCGTCTAATCTTAAACTAAGCAGAACGTATAGGTACTGTAATAAATGTCTAGACCAACGAGACCACAACAAGAATAATAATTGTTATTAAAGAATTGTTATTGTTATGATAAATAAATAAATAATTCAGGATAATTAACACAGCGCCATCTAGTCCCACAGTAAGCAGAGTGTGTGTATGTGTTATGAGTACTAAACAACTTACATACGTACTGAGATTTTATTTTGTAAATACATAATATACACAGAAAACATCTAGACCGATATAAACAATCATACTCATGAATACAAACTTGTTTGTACCGTGCGAGGATTGAACCCGCGACCATCGGAAGTAAAGCGGTGTGCTAAACCACTAGACCACCGAGGCTGTCCATTATGATGTTAAATAATGAAGACCTTATTTATTACACAGCGCATACCAAACGGGAATGGCGTGCATGGACGGATGGATTAAGAGATGTTTGCCGACCGATGGGCAGAAATTGGTACAGCAACAAATTGGGGGCGCTCGGGCACTGATGCGTTTCCTTTGTACCAACGAGACTGCTCTACGAAGAGGTATTTATTTGCTTCCATAGTTAGTGTACATATTTCCATACTGCAGGTTAAATTGGTGACTTTAACTGTAACTTATAGTTATGTACATATTAATATAATAATACACTTGTCATAAACAATCTTAGATACTAACATTATTATTAATTAACATTATAATAACATATGTATTAAAACTAACAATTAAAAAAGTTTTTTTTTATTCAATGAAGTGGCACTCTGACTGCTCACCTCAAGACTGGTGATAACCGTTAAATACACATACACGAACAGCACCATGGACATCATATCATCTTATGATGCTCGTGGTATCCCTCATGCGTTACCATTCCGAACGACAAAGATGTCATGCTTCTGTACTTCATTTGTTTGCTTATAATTTCAATGCCTTAACTCAGCATTCAACGGAAATACAGCACAAAATGTACTTATTTTTTCTATTACCAAAAAATCTATTAACTCTTTTTTATATTGCTTTGAGTAGTAGTTTCTTACAGTTTTTTATTATTTTAGACAAAATCAGATGTTATGGCAATAACAATATTGTTTACTAAACGCTACATAACGCTCTCTACATTGAAGTTGCAAGTTATTATTTTAGCGAAACAATTTCTGTTTATGTTTGCTAAGTAAATACGTTAGTTAAAGATGTTGACATTTCGGCGCCTGGTTGTTTGGAAAACGGATAGAAGCCTGCAATCAATACAGTCGTTACAGCCGATATCTTACTAATGATGGCAATTGTCACCTTCTTATAGGTCACATCTATACATCACTGTTTATCCACAAGTGTTTTATATTGTAAATATTGAAGGTGGAAATATATAAGAGAGACTTAGATTTATTGATAATCAAACATTTTCTACATAAAAGATTTTTTTTTTCCTTTTAATACTTTCGTTAAGCGGAAATATCAAGAGAGTCATCTGCTTCATGCAATCTTTATCTGAGTCTTACCTAAATCTGTCGATAGTATACTTTTCAAGCTGAAATTACAGGGAACATCTTAGCTATCTGGGTGCATACATAAACGTACATTCGTCATAGTGTATTTTATGTGATCTGTGTATCATATACTATGTTTATTATTTTCTTCAGATAAGCTTACATTTAATTAGCCACTTGTATGCAAAAACTATATCTGCTTATTATGTTTTACTAAAGCATGTAGACTAGGGTAGATGGAGTATTTTTTATTCATTTCATAATAAACACCCATTGCCAAACAGGATATAAAAGGGAATAAAAAAATAAAATATTGCATTTAATTCCACTATAGTAGTAATAGTAAACCTATACAAATATGTTGTATGTAATATAATAGGATATGAAAAAAATATATACATAGAAATGTTATTACAGTATGTTAACATTTCTAACGTAATATTAATTTCTTCCTAACTTTCATTGTAACTTTATTCACAAGGGAACAGGGCATTTTCTTAATTTAATTTCTATGTTGAATTATATTAAATACGATATTCATCACTTGCTATTTGCAGTTGTTAAGTTTCAAACAGCAAATCTTGTTTTCGCTTCTACATTACATCTTGCGTTTAAGTTTGTTTACACGAGTTAAGTAAATTGTGTTTGCAATTTGTATGAGTTCCGTACCAAATACTGCTGTGCTTACTAATTTCATAACTTCACAATGACTTGCCTATATTGTTTGCACAGAGTTTTTGAAAGAGCCAATGTGTTGGGGCCGAGTATCGCCGGATTGGTCAAGATGCGTCGACGAGTTACAAGTAGCCGTACGAGAAATAAGTGAACAAGCACAACAACTCACTTATTTCAACAGGAACGCTGAACTATGCTGGTAAGATATAAGTTTAAGTTATTTTTATGAACACAGTTCACTGTTATGATTTGTTTCTAAAAAAATAACACACTACAATATTGCTATAAACTACACAGCGTACCGCGTACACTTAGATTATGGAATGAACTTCCTGCCGAGGTTTTCTCACGAGACTACAGCATGGCGCTTTTGGGGACACCCAGGCGTCCATGGGCTACGGTAACCATTTACCATCAGATGGGCCGTATGCTTGTTTGCCACTGTTGTAGTATAAAAAAATATAGATAACTACTTATTTTTACCTATTAACATATAAGTAGAAGTAGAAGTAGAAGTCTGCCAGACCACTACATCGTCACCATCAAATACTTATTTTTAAATCATATACTCGTAGCAACAGTTTCATATTTAATGTTTGAAAACTCTACCAATGAATTGTGTATATGTGTGTGTGTTGGTCTATTATAGAGTTATTGTTATTTGTACAATTGTTCTTCGATATACTTTATTTGTTATATTATATTTGCTATGATTTAAGTAGCATTAACTTATTACAAAGCAGTGCACAGCACTAATGATAAGTACTTACTAAAATAGTCAGCACGCGCTGAAGGCTGAACGCAGCCACAATGCCCTCAATTTCAATATTTGACAGTTTTCATTGGAATATTGTTAAGTTTATATCTGTAAATTGATGGTTATATTATTAAAACCACTGTGTTTTGCATTACGAGTTAACAGGCACATTTATTCACATTTCGAACGTTGACTCACCTTATTCAGTTACAATATTATTTAATATATTCTGTTATAAAATTAAACTTAAGTTTATTATAATTCATTTATATATATCCACTGGAGGCTATTATCGGAATTAACTTCTAAACAGACAGCAAGACAAAGAGAAGGTAAAGAGGTAAAAAACAGAGAGTTGGTCAAATAGAAAATTAGACGTTAAAAATTAAATTTTTTATTGTACTCATAACAAATTTACTATTCAAGAACAACTATAATTATTTCTTAGTGCCTGGAAATACGAATAATTTTAAAATATCGTTGAAATCAGAAAAGAGGTTTCAGTAGTCAAGATGTTAATTTCTAATATACATACCTAAATTACATAGAAAGCAAATCCTTACAAAGGAAAATGTATATTAATACGTAGGTACTATAATTGTTATTAGATAGGGACTTAAAAGTATCATTATGGGTTAAAATACATTGTGTACTAGTAATTATAATTGATTATACGTGAATAAAGCGAACTGGATGGGTATATAATTATAATTATTAACATCAGGTTGACTAGTCTATCAACCTGAAGTTATAAATTAGTAAGTAATATAGTTGTTGATTGTAGATTACATCAGTATATTGTAACGTCTATATTTAGATAATTTATCATAATGGATAATGTAATAGTTTCGTTATGTTCCTTCGATGTACAAAGAAAAGAAAAGCAATTTGCATATTTTATTGTTTTCATCTCAATTGTATTTAGGAAGTAATGTACATTAACAACAATAAGAGATAAATTGGATATTTGCAAATTTGTGTTGTAGGTAGTTATGAAATAATGGGTCAAATGGGATTTGAAATTTTTTTTATCAATATTTAGAACCAACTTCCTATATATATGCGTAGTAATTCACGAGAACGAAGCTGCATAGTAATAATATCTTTTCTATTACTGTGTTTTTTTTTTATCTTTAATTTTTCTAGTGATTGATTGCTTTGAGATAGTCTATTTCCATCATCTTTTCAGCGCAAGAGATGCGTTTATGATGTGCGTGGCGCATGCGGGTCGAAGTTGTTCAAACTCGGCGGGTACTTTGCTCAAGCGTATGGCATGGGTGCTCGCACAAGACGTCGCTGCCTGTAGTCAACACCCAAGAGCATACTGCGCTGCATCCCCGCCCCCGTTCGCTGCACCGCTTCTAACAGCGATCTATGGTGTGATGCTCTACCCACCACGATTATAAACGTGTGACATTCATGTACATGGACATTACTGATAATCTAGTTAGGTATCATCGTTTGAATCAATCTGAATCAATTATTTTTTTGTTTATTACATTTAAGGCTTCGTCATTAATATTTGCTTTACTATAGTAATAATCAAAGCCATTAACGAAGTCATGTGATCATCGGTGATAATATGTGGAACATTTGGTTAAAAGGGAATAACTAGAGCGGTCGTATCAAAGAAGAAGAAAAAGTATGCCTTCTGCGATATAGGCCTAAAATCAGTAAGTATACCTACTACTAATTCGTAATGAGATGATATAGTAAAAAATATCTGGAAAGCAACGAAAGAGATTAACCCCATAAAAAGAAAGCTTATATTAAGCTCTAGCGAAATGTAAAACTATTTATTGAGATAGATAAAATATAATCAAACAATTTTGCCTAATAAATTTATATAATTTTGTTTAATTCCTTTACCATTAGTATGTGTGTGACCACATATATTCGGCGACCAAACTGTGGCTTTGTGCCGAACAGTTAACACTAGTCTTCCAAGCTATATCCGAACGCTATTCAAGATATGAGTGTAAAATCAATAATTGTTGGTATTTGATTACCAATAGAGAAATCCTCACACATGCTAATAGTAGCGATATTAAACAAAATAATATAAATACATTAAGTAATGAAATACTCGCAGTCCTATACAAAATAACACCTAATTGAATAAAAAAATAATCGTACTAATTTCACGTTCCTTCTATTTTCTTAGTAGAATATAAACCTTGTCGACCCGATCTCTTAGAGTGTATAAGATACACAGCCCTATATTATTATACTATTTTTCCCTGATATAGTATGTTACTTCGTAGCCAAAAAATATTATCTTGATGAATTCCCTCAATATTAAGGGGAGTACCCTTAATAAACTTTACTCATATAGCGTAAAATTATGGAATTAATATTTTGACTTTATTTTTCTAAGAATCATTTCTAATTGTATGTTCTGAAATAACAAAATTTCAGAAGAAATTTACACCTATCTTTTACTATTACTTATACATATAATTTCAAGGGTGTCTGTAGGGCAAGTAAATGGTATGAATTGAATAAGAAAGATTAGATATACATTACGAATGTAGCCTCATGTAATATTAATATCGATAAAATACTTAAATGAATATTTTAATACATCCGAAATTAAAATATAAATAAATAAATAAAATAATTGCGTTCACAGTTCAGTTTATAGTCATCCTAATCCTATCCATGACCACCTTTTTGTGATTAATATCATCGTTTTTTAAATGACTACAATTGAATGGGCACCTGTTTTTTAAAATACTACAGTCATAAAATAACACATCAATCAAACATCTGAAAGTGAAATGTCTAAAGGGAAATTGAAAATATTCTCTCATTCGTGCGATACATTAAAACATTATTTTGAATGAATACCCTTAACTCTCCTTAATCTTTACAAACGTTGCAATCAGTTATTCTACCGTTACAATTCATGTTGAGTATTAATCAGTTTATTTCAGTGTCGTAAACATATATTTTTACATAATTTGGCAAGCACATCACAAGCTGTAAACGGTTTGTTACTATTGCAATATCATCCACCTGTTAGAAAATATGTAATCCTAATAGATACCTTATGATCTATATATAGACTCTTTCTTTTTTCTACGTTACCGATATTAATTGAATTTATGAGCATTATTTTTATCGGGACACTTTTTGTTTGTGAATCTCCTTGAAGGCAAAAATATTAACATTAATATTACTAATGTAATAGCGAAAAACCATGCTAAATAGCCAATTTTGTACACAGGCAATAATAATCCTTGGATAACAATAATCAAGATGTCATGCATCTTGTAATGTAATTTCACTGCTTGGTCGCCTCCACATAACAAAAACACAGCTTAGAAAGCAAGCTGCTTGGCGACTGAATTAGGAGAGAAGGAGGAGAGAAGTACCCAAGCATATTTTGAATTATAAATTACAATAAAGTTCAATGATGAAAATTCCGAACGAGGTTTAAATTCAAGTATTATGTACTCTCGTATAGTCACAACATTTGCCAAGAACCGATTATTAACTTAGATTTAAAATAGATAATAAACAAAAAGGCATTGTAATTAATAAAAAACATAAATCCATTAAGTAAATAAATAATTATCTATATATAAAATATATTTATCTATATTACCTATTTAGAATCAATTAGCTACACAATACGTACTCAGTTTTTTTAAAAACCATATTATATTTATAACACGTTATATATATGTTATACCGTAAACTCAAATTTTCAATCCAGTGATCTGATTAAAAAATTCGTCCAAAGATAAATATTAAATATTAAATTATTAAGAAGAATTGTGATAGAGATCTAATTATTGGATACTGGATTTATATTCTCTTTAGATATTTTTCAATCTTACTCTTTGAGTATTAGATGTATCTAAAGGTGTTTTATATAAATAAGTAGGTGTACAGAGTAATATTTCAAACTAGAATAAACTATTCGAAGTAATTAAGTAAATAGTTAATTGTTTCGGCAATGGTACTCGTAATTAGTATTCGTACATTGAAACTAGGGTTGTTTACTTTTAAATAATAGGTTTGAGATGTAAGTAACCTAATGTAGGATTAGGTAAGTATCGTCGTAGTGTACTAATTCCCGTCAGTAATTTAATGATGAATGGTAATTTCTGTATAATTGTTCTCGTCATCCAGTTTTTTTTAAATATTTTAATAACAGTTTGCTACATTAAAATCAGAAACCAAGGAGCAAATTTCAATATGTTTCCATGTTAAAACTCTAGCAGGTGAATGTAATTTTCATTGTTACATATTTATTTAATGTTACCTTAATTTAGCTTGACGCTCCATTATTGCTTACTCTATATAATTCGATTGTACAACGCAGTTAAACTGTACAGACATTTGAAAGAAATTAACATTAATAGGTCTCAATAGTCACTATGAAAATTGTTTTAATGAATATAATCGATACCAGTCGGGTATTCTTAAATCAATAATAAAATCAGTTCAGATTAATTTAGATCTATGTTTCTATTTCGCCTAAATTTAGATGAATCAGTCTGAAAATAATGAAACCACTGATACAAGAGGTGAGTAGATGTAGTATGTTGTTTAGATCTAAACTAATAATGGGGTTACGCTAATATATTTGACGTGCTTGCAATGCAATATATTTTGTGAAAGCTGGATATCTTGCATACGTGTTAAGAAGAGGAGACAGTTACAATTTTAGCCCATAGTCTAGGTCATCAGATTATTTTTAATGATTTATGATTTATCTATTTATATACCAATATAAGTCATGCGATAAATTTTACTAAAGTTAGTACACTCCAGTCTAAATTAATGATTTATAGAGGTAGAGTAGGAAATAACAAGACAAGTCTCTAATTAATTGTAATAAGACTAACGAATAAGTATCAATATAATAATGATTATTACATAATTAAGACCATTCGTATAATCTTATAGGAACTGTATTGCCATATTAAATAGCACACTGTGTGTAAATGATTACTCTTCATAAACACCGAAATTCTATAAAACATATATACTCTTTTAAGGGTGGGAGAGCACCGTAAATATAGAAATTAAGAGACTTTGCCACTGCAAACTATAGCATTGCATATTGTTGCCAATCATGCATTAAGTGCTTAATTCAGTCACATTTTTTTTATTACAAATTTCAAAATTTTCTAAATTACAAGATTCAAAACAGCATGACGCAGTACAGGAGGAAGCTCGATATCTATAAATAGCTATGATTACATAAAAACAAGTGGTTTTGTAGCGATACTCTAAGTTTTCATATAAATACTCATCTACGAATGTAGATAGTAGGCATAAACGAGACTGAGGAGAAGTGAGGAGAGAAGGAAAGATAGAGACGGAGACCATTTTTCAATATAGTGTGTATCATATATTAAGTATATTTTGTATTAAGAATGAGCTTGTTAATTGTGGAATGCTAGAAATTAAAATATAATTTGATAGTCAACATAATGAGATATTTTGGTTCCATGTGACTGATTATGTCTAATAGTAAAGCATAAAGCAACGAGGATATAATTTAAATTTTAGCAAATTGTAATATAGTGTTAATGTTGTAGACACCTAATTGTAATAAAGAAATAAATTTAATAAAATGCTACGTGATGTTTATTACTTTCTTTCCTCCGCATTTCTCGATATTAAACTTGGACTTGAAATGAAATAAAGATATTTCCATTTCAAATAAGTGAGGCAAGTTCTTTTAGACTAATTAAGATATCTTGATATATTTAGGTATGATATAAATATCTACCTATACAATCATACAGATAAGACTTATCTGTTGGGATAAACCCGTAATTTGAAGCCGGAAATTGTGTTTTCTATAAGGGATTTCTATTAGAACTACACAAATATATTTTGAAAGTCAAAAGCACATAACGTTAATAAAAAATATGTGTGTATAATAAGTATGATGAGCTATAATTTTTATTAATGAAAGAATCTACAAATACAGACAAACCATCCATCCATCCAACCATTATCCATCCATACAAAATAAACATGCCTACCTTTTAAATCGGTTCATACCGGGCAATGTCAGCGAATAATAAAGATATAAAAATGTAAGCTTATGATGCTCAACTGTTTATACATACAGTAGTTAGTTATAATATATACCGTAGATTATCCGTTTTGCCTATTTGTTATTACAAACGTTATTAAGTATAGTTAAATTAAAGAAGAAAACTCAAATCAGGAGATTTGAGTAATAATACGCCTTAAGGCAAACTGCTAAGTCTTAAATTAATATTTAGTCTGAAAGAGATTCAATTACATTCTTATATTAAATAACTAAGATTATTTTGAAATGAAACGTTTAATTCTATTTTTATATACAATTTATAATTTTCCTTTACTATTCAAGTCACTGTTTATTCAGGTGAAATTATACCCGTTTAAATGTTGTTTATTAGTAACTTACCGCAACC